TCGCTTCACTTTCGGAGAAAATTTTTGGATGGAATTTTTTTCTTTGTTTCAAAAGTATGTGCACACTTGAAGAAGATCAGATTTTGGCGCCGAATTTTCCACCGATTTCAATCCGACTTTGCTGTTTTTACTTCGTCATCATGTCAATTCGCGCCATACTTCTTCCTGAAGATGAGCAAGCTCAGATCTAAGGTTCTGCGCATGATAATGAACGTTCCAATCTAGAAATCGCACGATAACTTGGTCGTTCTCCTTAATGCATTCGAAGATTTATCCGGCACCCTGATAATTATACTCAGCACGCACTCTGCTCCATCCACGATCCTTGACTGCTCAGAACAACAAAAGAGTAGCCCACATCCTGTCGAATTCTTCATTGACAGTCCGAGCTCAGATTTTTATTCCAGCCTCGAAAATAACCACTAAGTCCCTCATCCGCTCAAATGAATACACCACTCGACAGACGCTGAGGAAAGGCTACTCACTTCAAGGCCCAGCACAAGTTAGCCACATTGGAGTCTGCTCGTACAGACACGGCAACATAGGATAGGACACCGGGAGAAGACACGCTTTTTCGAGAATTTCCTATTTTCAAAACAAGCAACTTTTTAATGGAACTTTCTCTCCTCAGGTAATCTTAACTCATGGAAAGAGTTCGATCTTGACGGGCCGGGTGGATTTTGCTACTACTGGAGAGGCTTGGCCGTGAGTCGCTCGTGCTCTCGAGAAGGAATTTCGGGAAGAGGCCCGTTGATGGGTCTGCGGCGGTTTCGCAATCAGAGGAAATTCAGAAGTTGCCATTCCATTATTGCGTATGAACTGTAAAGAATACCAAGCAGTGCTCCAATGTCGCCTGTTGCCTTTCTTAGCGAAGCGGAGCGAAAATTGCATTTTTGGCAACAGGACCACGTGTCTTTCGATGCTTCGCAATCTACCAAAGAATGGCCTTAACCAAATGGTGCTGAAGCGATAGATTGGCTTGTGTGTCCTCTTACTGCAACCCTATAGGGAGCCCTTGGCAGTTAACTTTAGCAACCGGCAGTATAATACCGCGGATGAACTGAAGGCGGCGGTAGAGGCTATTTGGGCCGACAGCGACGAAACAGCTATGCCAAACGTGGTTCAGATTATGCCGGACAGGATGTTTGAGCTAATTAGAAACTCTGGAGGCCCCACTGATTTCTAATCTCAGCTATGTTTTTGTCTTTTGTTAAGTGTGCACATACTTTTGAAACAAAGAAAAAAATTTCATCCAAAATTTTTTTCGAAAGTGAGGCGATATTATCTGCTTTGCTTCCATTGATAGGTTATCGACTACGAGAAATCGATTGAGAAGGATTTCATAGCACGAAACCTCATGGTTCCCTTTCAAACGTGAATTTTGAGGGTGTGCACATACTTTTGAAACGCACTGTATACCAGATCAGAAGCAACCCCATGGTTGTTGTAATCTCAGGTTGCAAGGCCTGATTGAGGAGTGGCTCTGGGAGCGGAGGTGGGATGGACTCGTCCTCGATGAGAACAGAGAAAGATGTTATGTTTCTGGAACTGATATAGGACACTGTTGACCGAGAAATCGATCGAATAAATCGCGGTGTTCAAAGGAGTAAAAGCTTGAATTAAGTTTTCACGTCCACCAGACAGCCTAGTAGACCTTCTTTGACGTTTGGGAACAATGTATGCGACTCGTAACTCCCATGTTCCTTCAAGCACTTCATGCGTTTGACGTTCTATGCGTACTCGAATCTGTGCAGTGTTGAAGAAAATACGCATCGTTGCAGTCCAAGCTCATGACTGCAAATTACTCTGATGACGATCTTGCGTTGAGGTGAGATGCCCATTTCTCTGAGCTGATAAAATTACATTCAGGGGGCGGGGAATGAATAGAGGGCCATTCAGTGAGGGAAAAACTCAGGTATATTTATAATAAATTAACATCTTCAGGTAGAGATACATCGGGAAACTATCCACCGGCGAGGCTTGGCGATTCCGCATTGTAGTTCGATAAGCGGAAATATGTGTCCGTGATGTGGACGCTAAGTCACAGTCAGGGTTAGAGTGTAGCGCAAAGCTTTGATGTCCGTCACATGCGTCCTTTATTTTAGGCAACACATCTACAAGAAGGTGACCTTATCAAGGAGTGCAACGGGAAGAACATGTCGGGTATTACATGTGAACAGGTACCTTATGGAAATATTGTTATCCTTTTATATTTTCACTCGGGAAGTGTAAAAGTATTGCTGCGGATTGATAACTTTTCTTGATCCTTCACGACAATGACAGTTTGAAGTGGCCATTGCAAGGCGGTTCTGGGACATGGTCACCGTCTCTATGCACATTTCAAAAATTTTGCGACTCACCCTTGGTGCCTTGGTGCGACCCCACCCCACCGATGAGACTTAGATAGGCTTTTTCATACGCGTCCTCTCCCTATCTGACCCACCCTCGCCATCATGGGCGTGTTTTCTATTATATTTGATTTCTGCAGCCGAGCTCGCATACAAACTCGCCCATCTTTCTCCAAAAAAAGCCTGATTGAACGGCGGAGCAGGGACTGCGGGGAGGTACAGGGGTACCATGAGCAGCGTGTGAGATCTTGCTTAATTTCGTAAAAGGAAAAAAACGTTCAAAAGCGCACACCTTAAACCCCCGAAGCTCCGCTCCCACTGTTATAACCTTGCTCAACCTCGGAATGCGACCCCCCTTCCCGAAATCACAAATGCGACCCCCTCGTTTGAGTTGTGCGAACGGACGGTTGAGCCTGATTCTGATAGGCCTGGTTACGAAGATGACGTCTGTTCTTGGCGAGACGCCTTTGCCCCACTCTGAAAGCGGCCAACTACGCATGCAAATTCGATACCGCGGAGATCGAACTTCGATCAGCTAATCGTCTCCAGTGCGCTACACGTGTAGATTGGATCTTACATTTGTGTCCATCTATCCCGGGCTCTATCATTAACCTAGGTCCAGGTCAGTTCAAAGTTCCATGGGAAGTTCTAGAACGCTTTCCTGGTGAGATCGTAAAGGTGCATGACTTCATGTGAGTTTGAGTCCGTTATGCCTTGCGATACATAAAACTCTTTTGACTTCTATGATTAGGCAGCTGTTCGATTCTGCCCGTTTCTTAGGTCTCCATTCCGTCCTGCCGCCTTCCACATCAGTTCGAAAGGTCTGGTCATATCCTATTGGGCAAGCGACGCACTCTGGCTCAGATCTCACAAGAACAAGAAAAACACGATCGTATAGTTGCTGCACGAGAAGAGTTCTGTCGATCATCTCAGTCACATGTAATTTACGGGCGGCCATTCTTGCCGACTATGACCCTTCCAGCCATACCTGCTGCGTGTATTAAGTTCTCTTTTCGACCAACAAAAGGATTCGGGGAATTCAGAGAAGAAGTGAAACTGAAGGAGCATTTTTGGAATCACGGCCTGTTACTTGCAACAAGACATAAAAAAATGTTTATGTTGTCACGAGACCCCGGAGCCCACTAAGCCGTTGAGAAGAGGGAAGACAATGGGGCATTTTCATCCTTGGTTCTCGGTTGAGGTTGGCGGACCTATAAGCGCGGTATCCGAGTTGTGAATTACCCCACGGTTTGCAGTTTTGACCGCAGGGCACTGCATCTCTTATGTTCGACACACCTTGACTCACCCCATAGTTATACTTCTTGCATTATGGAAACCAAAATCAATGATTCTTAATTGTAACATGTCTTGTAAAGATCGACTACTAGAGTCGTTATTAAATTTGAAAAAAAACAAATATCTGCACATGTAGAGAGAGTTAGATGCTAGTTGATTTTATTGACACTTTCTATTCAGACCGTCAAGGTACGTGTTTCAACACCAAGCTTATGCGGAAAGTTACCTCGGTATGTTACCTTCTTCTTAACTACACATTACCGAAGTCGTATCATTAATGATGAAATATTTTCAGGTCGATGAAGAGATCGAAACTGCTGATGGAGAACGAGGAACAATCCGTTGCGGAGCCACCAATGTAATCTGTTTCCCATGAAACTATCATGCTTCGTATAGCGAACTCTTGCTTTTGCAGTATAACGCCTGTGATCGAGAAGAAGAGTCGATGTTGTATCTGCAGTCGACGAATTCGGGCGGTAAGGATTTAGCAGGCTTAACACTACGGTAAACTGGCGCTATCGCAAAGGGGTCACTGTGGTCTGAATGGATTCAAAACTGTGTAACATCTTCATTTTGTTGAAATCACGGCTAAGCCTTATTCAGGGAGGAGAGCCTACAGGGTGCTCGAGTGATTTTCTAATCTATGTTCCTGCTCCATCCTACATTCTTCCTTAAATGCCCCCTATCTTGCGATAGCACCAGTAAACTAATGAGGAATTCAAAACCTTCGAAAAATATGAAGAACGGCAAAGAAAGTTGCGAAGGTATATGGGTGAATGCAAATGACTAGAAATCGGGAAAATTCCTAATCTGGCGGTTTAATCGTCAGTGCGAATCCTGCTCTGAGCCAGAATTGACTGTCAAATGAGGAACAATACTACTTCAATTCCTCATCAGTCTGTGCAGTGAGTCACTCAGGAGCTCCCCCGCCTCTCCAAAAGCAGCCCGCAGAGACCCCAACTTCATGATCAGCTTTTGCAGGCTCTGGTTGCCAGCACTTTGAAGGCTGTGTCCACAGGGTTCGAGTATTCTAACAGTAATATACAAGGAGGGGCAGATAGCAGCTCGGAAAATGCTCCTCGTAGTCCAAATTGTGGCTGCCTTCTGTGCCTGAAAACCACGCATGCAACACCCTTCTATGAGAGTTTCCCGAACAGACGTTGAAGTTCTCTCTAGAACGAGCTACTGTGGGCTGCAAAATTCATTTCACCTACAAGACCAGCCTACTTTTTTCGTTTTACCCACTCACTCACTTTTCCCTCACTCCCTATTCCTGACCCTTTCGACCGTTCCTTTATCGATACTGGCCCAAAGGGGCTAGGCTTAGCACAAAAGGGCTAAGCCTAGCCCCTTTGGGCAGGTATCGATGGAGGTACAATTTGCTTTTTGTCCCAAAGTGTGAACAGGTGTACAGATTCGGCATTGATCGTACTGATAAACAAACTTTTCCAATTTCGCAGTCAATACTTTAAGCGTTTCTTTACTTTTGTTTTTGAGATCAGCAACCATGAAAGAAGAGTGTTTGGATCCTTATCCTTTCAGAAGCGCTTTCATATGATGTCACATCGTTGGCTTGCAGCGTCGCTGAATATGCTGCCAATGATGCGCTCACGTTCTGCTCTCAACTCTAACAGTTACAACCTTATCTGAGCCTTTCCACAGTTCGCTGCTCGCCTAACCAGACAATTTGTTGTCACTGTGAATATTCGTTTTTTGTCTTTAGGTAAGATCTGTCTTACTGTATGTTTCCAAAAAAGTCACTCTTAGAAGGAATGAAGTCCTCCAATCAACTATTCAACTGCCATTAGCATCTGATACATTTAAAGTTGTATATCTTTGACGTGGACGACCTTCTGTCAGTTCCTCGTTTATCAGTAATTTTACTAATAATTTCCTTTCATTCATTAGCCTCCAGTGATCTCTGATCTAAAATGGATCTTGCCGTGATTCCTGCCTCAATTCTGTGATACCACTGCTATACTGTACGTTTGACTGTGCTCATTTTGTTGCCTCACATATCGTTTTTCGAGGGTTTCTAGGACTTCTTATAACAACTATAAATACGATATTACGAATAAACTTTGCCATTGGCCGTAAGCTAAAATCGTTTTGAAAGTCGAAAGGATATTCGAAAACTAGACTATGTAAATAAATAAATAAATATTGCATAGTAAGGCTGAGCATACACGAATACCAACACCTTTTTTATGGTGCCCTTTTCGCCGATTCTAAAGGCAATACCATTGTCAGGACTGAAACAACAAAAGTCCACCGTAGTGCAGGTCCGATAAGTGACAAAGAGAGTAGTAAAGCAAGAATACCCGAAGAAAGATTGTTTTTAAGATTAGGTTTGCTGTCAGTTTTTTACAGTGCCCTTTCAAGCCGCGAAAAGGGCGCTTGCACGCTCGGGTATGAAATAAGTGGGCGAGCCTAATCCCGGCGCGAGCCAAAAGAGCCACAAAAGAGTGTAAACATGGTCAGCTACTCGCTTGGTGATCTTGAATATATCACATTCTGTGGCACCTTACATCTCAACTAATGTTGAACGCTCAAAAGCTGTTAGTATGCTATTTTTCTATTAGGTTGTCTCATAAGTAGTGGCGCATTTTTTCAAACGGAAATTTTTCTTGTGAACCTCTAATGTTTTACAATGTTTCATATACCATTCGATAGGAAATTATCTGCTCTACAAGAAGGTATGTACCCTTTTTTTGATTGTTGCAAATTGTTTGAGTTTTAGGCATGCAAAGTGGGAGCTCCGGACGACGAATTTTCGCCAAACCGACAGCTGACCTAAACTTTATACTTCCCTAGAAGAAATCAATCAATAATGTAACTATAACTTACTCATAACCTCTACTAAACATTCCACATTTAGGTTCCCTAAAAGCTTGTCTCGTTTAATTTTGAGATTTAGTTATTCCAGTGCAACTCGGTGGTCGCCTGTCAACCCATAGAGCTTCGTTCAGAGTGGAATTTTCCATTCCGATTCTTAGGTATTGACGCCACTTTATACACCTTTAGTAAAGTGATTTTGGGTTTTGATTTCAATCCTGTTCGAGTTTCAGCATAGAAAATGGTGGTATGTCAAGTCGACGAAAAGGAACACTTCCGGCACCTTCTGCTGTTCACCTTCAACCAAGGATCGAGTGCCACAAAAGCCGGCAGGCAACCACCGAGTTGCACTGGAATAACTAAATCTCAAAATTAAACGAGACAAGCTTTTAGGGAACCTAAATGTGGAATGTTTAGTAGAGGTTATGAGTAAGTTATAGTTACATTATTGATTGATTTCTTCTAGGGAAGTATAAAGTTTAGGTCAGCTGTCGGTTTGGCGAAAATTCGTCGTCTGAAGCTCCCACTTTGCATGCCTAAAACTCAAACAATTTGCAACAATCAAAAAAAGGGTACATACCTTCTTGTAGAGCAGATAATTTCCTATCGAATGGTATATGAAACATTGTAAAACATTAGAGGTTCACAAGAAAAATTTCCGTTTGAAAAAATGCGCCACTACTTATGAGACAACCTAATACAATCATTTTGCTGCTCAGGACGTATGCATTTGAACCAATGCCTGTGCTATGTATTCGGTGACAACTCGTTGACCATCTGGGCCTACGAAACGATTTTTGGTGACATTTTCGATTTTGGACTGTCCCATGCTCCACTAACCGGGTATTACTGTGATACACGTACACGTCTTCAAATCGAAAAAATGTTAGCTTTACAAATTTTACCGAAGTGTCCAATCATACTGGAAGTAAGCGACAAGGTGTTCTTCCCAATTTCTGCAAAACATTGTTTGAGAGCCAATCTTGGTAACCATGTGCCGAGAAAAAACTATACAAGTATCTGGAATTATTTCTCTTACAGAACAAGCTTCATTCTGAAAGGCAAGTATTTTGAACTGAACGCTCGAGTGGGCCGTACTCATTTTTTATTCCATGAGCTGTTATCAGTCATCTCGATGGTATCCTGAACGTGTAACTTCAATCCTGAAGGACTTGTAAACTGTTCTTAGTACACATGTAGATAGATCTACGTGTCGCAAGAATGAGTAACCTCATTTCATTTTTCGCTTTTATGGACTCTACATGTATTTACTACGTTATTTACATATATCAAATCACTAGAAGCAGCAAAATCAGATAAAGTTGAACAGTAGGTTCCGTAGGTAGGATAGAGTAGCCCGCGAGTAGACAATTGCGCCGTTGCCGCCGGTTGAAGCTGCTTGAAGGTGTTTGACGATGGCGCCACGGACTTACCAACGTGAGCTAAAAACCAGTTTGATATTACAAATTACAGTAAAAGTGAAATATGGACGAGATATGTCGCACACACCCCCTTAACATCCAATTTGAATTGCCATTGGAGGCTTCTTCAAATGCAGGCAGGCTAAATGAAGCCATGGAGTAAGCGAGTTCAGGCAACTTGATCGGATACGCCACTACTCAGTTCAGGGTGGAAGAGAATTAAGCATTATTCAAGGGCTTCATTACGGCGTTTGCATTCGCCTTCTTTTTTTCATTTTCGGTGATTTTGGCATCTACTATTCAATTATCGACCGCTGTTATCCCATCAATTTGGTATGATTTTGTTGCTGCAAATCATCCTAGCCTCAAAGCTCCTATACAAATCCATTACATACAAAAGTTTCGTTGAAAACTAGTTTTTCTAAAAGAAACCAGGCTTTGGAATTCACTTCGTCACCCAAATGACACGACGGACGGAGAAAGAAGGAGCTGATGGAAAGGAAGTACGCCGTGGGATAATGACGTATAAGGCGGCTTATAGAAAGGGCTGAATTGGTGCGTTTGAACTGGAGCTTTGTAGCAAAATACTGACACAATTAGGTGAAGTGAAGAATGGATTCATTACCATGGTTGAAAATTCAAAAAATAGTACTTTGCGTTAGCACCACGAGAACGGAGGTAGCGTTAGTGGCAGATGTAAGGCGGAAATTTGGAAATGTAAGTTCTAAGTTTTTTGATTTGTTTTACCAAAAGCAAACTTGAGTTTTTGGTATTTTGGTGACTCATAAACTAAGATTTCTGATTGAGGCAAGAATCTGTGAATTCTATGAATGATCTTCAACAGATTTTCTATATGCCATGCTATCGAAAATTGGGTGATTTCTATGACGATGAGCTGCTTTATGCACTACGATAAAGGGTGGGTGTTGATATTTCCAGGTCAGGCAAGCATCCTTCAATTGCGATACGTGTTGCTACCGCTGAAATGAAGCTAGCAAAAACTCAAATTTGATAAGAGAAGTGGTTAGTCGGCTGCAGAGGAATTCTAACAGTTCTCTCTTATAAGTATTGTCACCTTTACTGACAAGCACAAATTTGCTTGTAAGCACTTTCTCGGATGTCGTCTACCTTGCTGCTGATGCGTTGCTCATTGCCATTGCAGTTCCACGACATGTTCCTTCTAATATTGTTCAAAGTGGAGATAGATTAAATTTAGATGTCCAGTAACTGGAATGACCGCCTTCAAAACCCTATTGGGGCAGCCCTCCTCGAGCAGTGTCTCCTCTGTGAGCAATACAACTTTAACGATGCCAAAATTAAAATGAACAAGGCTTATCTTGAGCCCATCGTTACGATTCTTTATAACCTGAGCACTCCGCATTCGTCCGGTGAAATAATTGTCGCTCTCTTAGCGAACGGGGGGGGGTGGGGGGAGGGGGTGGGGGCTTGAATACGCATCTAGCCAGGCTCAAAAACGAAGCTCTTCTAAGTCAAACCCAACAAGCTGAAACAACTAAATTGCGTCTATGCTTATATATGGCCGGCTAGGCTGGCGCTAGCTATTTGGTATCAGAAACGCAAGCCGCTCGAAGGTATCCCTCTGAGTTTCGCAGTTTACCCTTCAGATATTTGATGGAACTGCACTCTCGACAGCAGGAGTGACGCAACAATGTATGGCAGACATGGCTTTATTTGGAATAAGCCTTGCTAGATTCACTGCGACAGCCAAGGCTTGCATGGATCAAGAAGGATGTACTGATGAGCAGAAGAAGACACTCGCGGAGAATATGCTTGCAGTTAACTGGTGAGTCGAACTTCGGATGCTGCTTCACTTCAATAGCGTCATCTTTTATGCCAATTTAAGTGGGTGGTAATAGATTAAAAGCAAACCCAGGCGACCCGGTCTAGTAGGAGGGATTCCACGGGGGAAATTGTAAGGTCCGTACGTAACTGGATCACTCCAGCTTCGTCGCAAAAACTGCGCGGTTAGGGCGCTAGTCCTTACGGGCCCGCAACCATCGACTCCCTTTCCAACGCATCCTACCCGCCGCGAGAGGTGGTGAGATCAGCGTGCATTGATGAGAGATCAGCGTGCTCTCTCAAACGACGTGCTCTCTCGCGTATTTTGCCTTCTTTGACCACCCTTTCTCGCCATCGTACCACATTTACTACCACTACCTGAAGGTTAAGGCCTTAATTGCAGCGTTCCCAAGGATATCTCTTGCTTCTTTCCACTTTCAGGTCGTTCCACAGCTAAGCTATCACCACAAAGCGCTGATAGCACCTTGTTAAATCCCGGAGTTAGTCTTTTAGTTCCCAGTTTTGCAGCTCGCACGATTTTCTCAATTTTTTTCGGTGTTTTTTCGCAATATCCA